GTATAGTTTAAGCACAAAAAAAAAGATGCATTGGATACCATTACAAAAATATAAGATATAGAAAAATATTTGGCTTCAATGGAACTGCCTGTTATTGTTTTATTACATACTTTTGTTTATTCATGAAGTGTTGTGGGTGAGAGGTATAGGGTGTAAAATTGTTATATTATAGATAGTTTTTTAGAAATAGGATTATTAACCATCAGAAATGTGGAATTTAGCAGCATAGTAATCCATAATCTACTAGGAAGAATTATGTCTTACAAATTTTTTAAGGATTGTTTTACATTATAAATATAACTGATACTTGAAACTGTCTGTATTTTGTGAAACTTTGTAATTACAGAATTGAGAAAAAAAACATTGCACATTTTACAAATATTTCATTTATTAATGACCACGGTTTTGCCAGTAAATGCATGATTAGGTACCTGATGATGTCTTTACTGGTGAAACAATAGTTGTTAATAAATAAAGTATTTGTAAAACATAAAATTGTTTGTTCCCTCAGTTCTGTTTGAACTGGAAGTTATATGAAACACAAAAGTATATTAAATCGTCAGTAATTTAATTACACAGGGATGCACTTAAAGAATAGACCTAAATTTTAAACAGATAATTCTAAATATTACAACTTAGATTTAAATACCTATTACCAGAAGTATGAGAAAAATGAAAAATATTTAAATGACTTATTTATAAGAAATGCTGATTAGTGAGTATAGGCTTATTAAGGATTATGGGTTCTTGTTTATATTTTGGATTGTGTTTGGAAATTACATTTTTATAGTTTTACAAGTGCAAAGCACTACTGCATAATGTTGACTAAAAACAGAAGAATTAGAAGTGAAAAGTAGTTGTTTATGCACCTGTTTCTGCATGTAGAAGGACAGAGCTAGGGCTCATAATTACAAATAACTACTTAAAATAATTCAATATGAAACACTGTTTTGGGTATTTTTCTAGGAACATTGTGCAAATATGGAAGTTGAAATGCAACAAAGGTAAGTGATGAAGGCACAATGTTTTTATTTATTTTGTACAGTATAAATATAAATAAAGGGATTTTGTGAAACATTATACTGAAAGTTTTAAGGTTTATTTTTCAGCTACTACTAATATATATAAAATTACACTCATTGTTTGTAGCTATATACTTGTTTAATTTTAAATTAATTGCAAAGTAGTAAGAAGAAACCTTTACCCCTTCAAGAATTTCTGATATGATAGAAATATTAAAACATATATATTTTATTATATGTATATATTTTACTCACATTTGAAAGTTTAAAATATAATGTATTTTCACATTTAATTACACATGTATAACTCTTGCTAGTTACATTGTAATACTATAACTGACAGTTATTCTAAAACCTGGTGCCTGAATTTTAGAGTTAAAACAAGAATCGAGATTATTTTATGTGGTATAAAAAATATTATTTTTGCGAGCTTAACAAATTACCCCAGAAATTAACTTCACTGACCATAAAATACTTTATTTCACTTAAATTCTCATATGAATTATGCTGTATATACTTGAAGAACAATATGTAAGTACATACTTCATGATGTGTACTGATAACAGAAAAACACAATGTTATATTAATTAGATTAACTCCTTTTCTGTGGCTGCGGTGTGCTATTTTGTGGGTGAAACTTTTGTTATAATGCAGCAGTTTTTGCCACTACAACAGGTTCTTTGTGATATTGTAATAGAATCTTTCTTTTTTTTTAGGAGCACTTAAAAATGACTGTGGGACATTTTTTAGGCGTACTACCCTCACTTATGAGATTTATTTATCTTGGTATTTGTACATGCAGTGTGCATCTTACAGATATCCAATATTCAAAACTTATTAACCTTGGGGCTTCTCCACCATTCCCTACTTTAATTGTTTCAGGGATGATAGGGAGGAAAGCATCTTGTACTAGCGAAAGCATAGCTGATTTTTTTTTTTTTCAATGGCTAAACAGTGATAAACAGCTAGAGAATTAAAGCAGTGGCTGTCAGAGAAGCCTCGGGCTTTATGCCAAAACTTCTGTGAAAGCACATTACCCTGCTGAAGATATATGGTACAGAGGGTTGAATATGTTATATTAAAACAATATTGGGGCCTCACCATGTCATTATAGTTCATGTTGCCATGTTTAGTCATGTTCTTTCTGATGAACATGCATCTTGACAATAGCTTTGCAGCATAGTTTCCATTTCAGAAGGTTTTGTCATGTAAGGCTGCCATGTCCAAAGCACGTTAGTCTTTTCTGCTTGCTTTCCATAATTCATCTAGTATAGGATGATGATGGTTTCCAAGTGCTCATTTTGATTTTCAAATGCACAGAAATCCGTAGGTGTTGTATCTGGAAACTTGACTGGTATGTCTTTGAATGGATATTCCCATCTCTGAAATTCTAAATTCCTGATCTGCACACGTCTTTATGATTTGAGCGAATGATTATTTTGCACTGGAAATGGCAGTTACTTACCATTTTCAAAAACTATCAATATTTGGTAGAATCACACTACATATGAAACGACAATATCAAAATGTAGATCTAATTCACATGTTCCACCATAACTGTATTTTGGCTGTGGTTTTTGCAGGACTCACTGATTTTCGTTTTCTAAATCATTTTAAATATAACATACTCAACCCTCTGTTCGTGGTGGTTATAAGACTTTTGAAGCACTGTAAACAATTATAACTTTGAAATGAACAGCATTGCAATAAAGCACTTAATGATGTTCACTCTTTTCAGTTTCTCTTAGAGCATTCTTTTTTTGGCATAGTGGGTGGGTAGTGTTCAAAAATGGCCAGAAAGATATTAATACTCTGAAACTGTTTCATTGAAATTGATAATAGATGTCATTTTATAATTTGTCAATATTTACACTGTAGTTTGATTATCAACTCGTAAATTGCAACACACAATGCAGCTGACACTTTCTTGTGCACATAGTGTCCATTTTTGAATAGAGTAACCAACTAGTGCCAGCTGTTCTCCTTAAGTAAAAAAATGAAAGTGTGCATGTTATAACTGACATTTAAAAACTCCTATATGATTTCCAGTGCAGAGATATTATGGACATTGTGTAGATTAGCATGGTATTGTACATAGTGATCGATTTATAAATATTTTTGTTTTTCACATCCATATACACATATCTGTTACACTCTTTATATTATTGGTACAAAAACTATCTAAGATTGAATTATAATTGCTTTTTCAGTTCAAATGTAAACAATAATATATATATATATATATTAAAGTGGGGTATTTAAACATTTTTTAACTCTCTCTAAGTGGGCTTGGTCACTTTGATCAATCTTGCAACCACCAGGAAAACATGGAATTTTCTTTTATTTCAAATTGCAGAGAGGATGTGGCTTGGTAAATGGGTTTGACTTCCTGTTTTATATCTCCATAAACAGAAAATTGAAGGCTATAAAAATTAGACTATGTCTTAGTAATATCTATACTATAATGTGTAGTTTATGTTAAACTCAGGACATCATAGAGGATTAATGAAAAAATATAATATGGGCAAGTCATGTTGCACAGATAAGGGGAGATTAAAAACTTGTTTAAATATTTTCTTTTGAAATTAAGAAATTAAAACTTGTATTAAAATTTGATTTATTAGCTATGTATTAATTGATAATAAAGTAATTTAACTACACTTTTAATGTAATTCTGTAAAAAGTTATAATGTGCACTTTTATCTACTCATATCAAGAAGGATAATATATTCTATCAAATAAAATTTCACTTGTTCAGATAAAATTGTTTAGAAAAACAGAAACCTTTTTAGTGATCTTTTTTTTATTTAATTGATTATCATTTACCAGTTTGAAAAGTAAGATGCAATATGTTACTGATATTTTGTATGTAAGACATTTTAACAACCTGGACTAACACTTACTATTTATAAGTAGTCATAGGAAGAAGAGGCTTAAGAAACAAAGCATAAACTACTAAAATTAGGAAACAAAATCAACTCTTTAAAGTAAAATTATTTTATTTATGTTATGAACTTCAGTTAATAATGATGTTGCATACAAAATGCTCACAAATTACATGAGTGGTCTTTGCATTTACATATGCATTTACTTCTTTTTTTTAACTTTGTACATGCTCCATAAGCCATAATTCAATTTTACTTTTCAAACATAGCATTAGTTTAATATTGTATAAAGTTTAGTTATGTCTTGCATCTCTTTTAGGTCTTTCTGTGTTGATATTTATATGTTAAGTCTTCTTATTAATCAGGTACTACTACTACAGTAATCCTCATGTCATGATTTACTTGTCATCTCAACCAAATAAACATTTAACAGCAAAATTAAACATTTGGCTCACCATAAGGTTCTCTCACCAATATTATCTACTGAAGAATTCATTAACTTTGATAAGTCTGCTTTGCAATATTTTTTGGCCTGATTTATGTTTTTCTGATAAGTTTCATATACTTTCATATTTATAGCACAATTATGGTTGTGATTGAAAAATTGGGAAATATGTTTCATATTCCAAAATGAAGGGTACAAATTAAAGATAATTCATTGTCAAAGAAGTTAGTTATGACCTTTTCAAAACCAATAATATTTTAAGTATGTTAAAAAAAAAATTGTTTTCATCTGTTTACATTGTTTTTAAGAACATAAGTGAAGAGTTCAGAATTTTATACATTTAATTATTTATTTTATGCTGCTTGGATCTTGATACAGAAGGTAAACATTTTCTAAATACTTTTTACAATACACTGAAAGTAGGTTTTTAGGTGGGAACTTCAATGGATACAAGTTTAGTGAATAAATACATCTGTATCTGCAGTCAGTGAAAACTCACGTTTTACTGTACAATCAACAAATATAGTAAACAAATGTATAAAATTGTATAGACATAAGTTTATGATATATCCTCATATTAAAAAAAATGTTTAAAAGAACTCTGATAGCCAAAACTGAATATCGAATACATAACTTGAACAATTTCAATTGTATAATTTGTTTTTGACAGAAGGTGTCTTAACTTTTGGAGGAAATCTTAAAATTTATTTTCATGAACAGTAATGTAGTTGTAAGCTTTCCCAGTAATACTTTATAATAAAAAAATGTTAATGAAAGTTGGACGTTATACATCTCTGATGTGGTTGCAGTAACATTAAGGTATTGTTCATTAGAAAATGTAACACCACATTACAAATTACTTCTGTCTTAGTATGTTCTTAAAGATACTGTAGTCACATCAACAGGGTAATATGCTTGAAACTTAGGTATAATATGCACATAAAATCTTCTGGATATTTACAATATTAACAGGCCAGGGGCAGAGGATGTCTCAGTTTTAAGACAAGAGTTGGTGTCAGTTCAGAGGATGATGGACCAGTTAGCTCTTGAGAAAGAATCTGAAAAGGAAGTTCTTCAGACCCAGTACAACAGCCTAGAAAAGAAACATGTGCAGTATGTAACTTTCAGTATGTTGTGCATATTTAATTTTTATGTGTACTGATTATTTTTCTTCATTTAATATGTAATTGGGTGCTGCTGTAAAAAGATTCTCATGTTTTACTTACAACAGTTATTACTAGAACCATATTTACAGTTAGAAATTTTCATTCGAATTAATTAACAGTTTTAGGTAGAATATTATAAAATATATTCTGATATAATATCTTACCTCCCCTCACAAAATAGCTTTTCTCAATTAGTATTGCTCTCTATCAGTGAAAATTTTCAATGCTCACCACTAGCCTTCCACCTCCTGCTTCTGCATATCCACATGTAAATGATTATGCACCAGCTCTCTACCAATAGGAGCACAGCACAACCCCTGTAGGAACATTTAATTTTATATGTTTGGTGTGATTACTAAAAAAATCTACATATTGATTAGTTTGTGGATTTATAAAAAAAATATCAGTTACAATTTCCTTTTCTGGTGAAACACCAACACATCTAAAAAGGAAAAGCCTTTATTACTTCTTTTGAAGGTAAACTTAATTTCCTTGTTTATTGAATTTAAAATTTTATCATGAATATATTTTCATATTACAAAATAATCATCTAAAAATCTTTTCTAAGAAGTTTTTACATGAACTACAAAATTATCTTCAATATATTTAGGTAGTTTATTAAGTAATGGTAATTCCAAAAATCCTATAGTGATATTAGCACAAGTTGGAGTGACTATTCTGCCCATTGCTGTAACAGAAATAAATTTGATGAAGGATTTGTTCCTCATTAGTAAAAAATATGTCACACATATATAACAAAAGTGTACAAAATGGTTCTTAACAATATTCTGTAGAAAAAATTAATATAATTTATTGTGACGCATTGGCTGTAATGAAAATTGTATGTGTAAATAATAAATCAATATATGTTACTAACTCAATAATACGAGCACACTTAAATAGTCAGATTCAAATGCTGTTAAACAAAAATTGCTTTAGTATTACCCTATACAGGTAAATTGGTAATTTTGTTACTCAGTAATCAAAGATGAAAGTTGTATTAAGATATATCTTTAAGCCTAACTGTAGATTACAACAGTTTTTAAGGTTTGAGGATCATATAGCTGTATTTAAACCTTCAAGTTTTGTATACGGGTTTAAATGTCCGAAATGTTTTTTAGATTATTTATATCAGATCCACCACTAGGTGGTTACAAGTTTGCATACAGGAACATACAAAGTTAACACTTTCCATCATTAAGGATTGTGCACTGAATGAATGTATTGAACTTGTAAATAGAGAACAATTTAAAATCCTCAAAAAAGCAAATAATGAACAAGAACTATGTATAATGGAAATTGTTGAGCAGTGGATTTCAACTGAAGTTGAATGAACAGAATAGTGCAGTTTGTTTATTGCATAGTAATAATAACATTTTATTTTAATGTAGCAAAACGCAATAGTTTTAAGGTGAAGTCGTTGATTTTTTTTTCTAATATTCATAGTAAAGGAGACAATTCATCATAATGCATGTATTTGCAATTAGTTGTAATCATAATCTTAAAAATTGTACATGTTTTCACTTGATATTTATTAAAATATTCTGTTGGTATTGTTAGAGGGTACTGTAAGTTTAAATCCAAAATTCAGTTGTTGCAGGGCTTTGGATTAATGCAGTTTATAGTTTATAGGCGAACATGTAATGTGTAGAAACAATGCTTTAATTTTACATTTCATATTCATTTTCTCCATAATACACTTCTGGAAGCAGTTAGTATTGGTTCATGAAAATCGTTATATTTGGCATTGTGTTCAAAGAAGTAAGTAGTATTTTGAATTACCTGAGGTAGTATCTTTTCACCATATTGTTAGTTAATAGTAAAGTTACACTAAAACTGTAATATGATGATTATAAGGTAAATATTTTAGGATTGAATTTACATGTGTATAATACAATTGTAAGAACCTAAGAGTGAAAGTAAAGAATGTATAACAGTATATGAACCACACTATGTTACATTATGTACAGTATATTAAAAATTACACAAAAACATTAAATAATGGCCAAATTACATAATTAATAACAAAATGATTCAACAAAAAATTGAATGAAATAGTAAAATTCTATAATTTCAAATTGCATTTAATATTCTAAGTTTAATTGGATGTTCAAAAAGCCATGGTACATATATAACTAAAGTATGCAAATATGACTTCTCAATACCTTTTCATAAGTCATGAAATCAACATTGACAAGTAACAGTAGTATCCAGTGTTTAAAGAATTAGTGAATTTCACATGTAAAAAAAATCTTATTAGAATTCTGTACATGTAACAGGAGTGTATGTACAGGTTGTCCACAAAGTCCTGTTCCGGTTTAAAAGTTGATTACAACAAAACCAAAAGAACTAGAATTTTCAGTTTTTAGCACCATGTTGCTTAACTAATGAAGTTTTTTTTTTGATTTACAGATTGTAATTGGAGTGTCCAGTTGCTAATGACTGAAGTTTGAATGAAGTTGGCAACTACACAGGAGAAAGTTCTATGTGTCATCTGGTTTGTAGAGTCGAGATCAGTTACAAATGTTCAACGGAATTACTGCTCTCAATATGGCAAGGATCCTCCCTCCAAACCCAGCATTAGGGAGTGGTTTCACAACTTTTGGGAGACCGGAAATGTGGTTGACTTGATTCAAAGTGGATGTCCAGGAGTCTTTCCAGTGCAGCCCTATAAAGTCTATTTGTTGTGCTTCAAGTGAACTCCAGCTTTCAAGATCAATTTTACACAAAGTTCTACACAAGAGATTACATCTTTATGCATATAAAGTACACACATTGAGCTTTCTCCTGTGTAGTCGCAATCTTCTTTGAAACTTCAGTCATTAGCAACTGGACATTCCTATTACAATCTGTAAATCAAGTAAAAAACTTTATTAGTTAAGAAACAAGGTGCTAAAACTGCATAATTCTAGCTCTTTTGGTTTTGTTCTAAGTTTTAAAATTGTAAAAGGGTTTTATACAAGTAATAATATAAATTGAAAATATTAAGTATGATGTAGGTATGAATATGGAAAACTATATAAAAATCCCTACATAGGTAGCCAGTAAGTACTGAGTCAATCTTACAAGCTTATGGTTATTAGCCACTGTATATCACTATTCAGTTTATATGCTTTTATTCAAATTTAAATTCATGAAACTGACAGGAATTCAACATTTAGTTGTAGATAAAAGTTATTCTTGGAAACAGTTGGCTACCTATTTAGGGATTTTTGTATGGTTTTTGTGTATTCATCCCTACCTTGTTTCTGTACATTTTGCCATTGCAATTCCTACATCATACTTAATTTTTGC